TGGCAGGTGCCGGTGATAGCGGCGCCGGTGATGGTCTGGCACCAATGATGGTCTGTTCCCCCTCCTTCTTCTTTCTTCCTTCATATTCTCTATTCCTTCTCTCTTTCTCTCTTCCTCTATCCCTTTGTTTCAGATATAAAAGAGGAAAAAAAATAATCCAAAATGACGTCATTTTGGATTTGGGCCACTTAAGCCATGGAAATTTTGAGCTCTGAAGCATTTTTGAAAATTAAAAATGACATAAGCATTTGATATAGTTATATAGGCATAGTAATAGCAAAACTTGACTCAAGTACATATGAGTGGCAAACTAACAACTTATCACATTGTCAATATCTATTGTCAAATCTAGAATATTTAAGAAAAAATAAATAATTAAGTGAATCAACTGAACTTTATAAGCTAACTTCATTATATATTTAATAGATATTAGGTTTAATATGCGAAACTTTTGGTCGATTTCGATTTAATTCAATACACAATGTGCCTAAACGAGTACCGAACCGAACCGAAAATCGAAAAAATAATTTTAAAAATCACACAATACGATTCTTATTAAAAAATCAACCAAATATAGCCAATTTGATTCGATTTAACCAGTTTGGTTGATTTTTTCGATTTCTTTTTTAAATTTATAATAGTATGAGAGGTCCAATATATATATTTTTTTATTAGTTAAGGTTCTTCTATTAAATTTCTCTATAATCATATCAGAGAAATTTTAATGTGAAAATTAAAATTTCTTTGTGAAAATGTTGAGGGACCCCAACTGCTATGAAAATATTATATGTCATTTATCTTATAAAATCTTAATATCAGAGATCTTAAAAAAAAAATCCCCAAATTAATGTATTTGGAAAATGTTAAAAAAAAAGAAAAGAAAAGAAAAGAAAGTAGTTGTAAAGCAATAGAAAACTTTTTTTTTTAGAACTTACCAATCAGTCTTTTTAATTAAACTTATTTACATATAGGTCATGACTGATAAATTTATCACTGTAAATTTATTCATAAAAATAAAAGAGGTTGATAAATTTATCAATATGACTTAATAAGCGTTCGTTTCGCATATAGTGTTTTTGGGCTTTTCGGATAAAATAGTCACAAAAAGCGAAAATAGGTTAAAAAGTTAATAAGACAAAATGTCACTTCCAAATCATAATCATTTCATTTTTTCTCTCATAAAAATCAAAAAATTAAAAAACCTATTCCAAATGAGACTTTTTAATCTCATGCTAAAATAGCGATAAAGTCAAAAAATTAAAAAACAACTCACATCTCAAACAAAACCTAAATAATAAGTCTCAAAAGTAAAACCCGTTGATAATTTAACTCTTTTTTCCTTTTTTTTTGGAATAAATCAAGAGGAAATTGCAGAAGAATGAAAAGTTGAAGGAATAATTGCAAAAATGGGTTGGAATAATTGCAAAAATGGGTTGGAATAAAAAATAATTGCATAAAACATGCAAACTAAAAAAGATTTTGCAAAACCATGATGCCATTTACACGTTTACCCCCTAATTCTTTCCATCATCCCTTTCCCTTCCTCTTCCTATCCTCTAATGTCGATGGCCAGTATTTTCCCACCACCTCTAGCCATTGGCCACTCCACCAGTCTTCACCCCTTCCACTTTATCACTACTGTCATCAACCTGTTATCACCACCAACTCCAACCCTCATCTTCTTCTCTCATCTCTTTCTTTCACTTTTCCTCTCTATTCCCCTTCCGTTTTTTTTTTTTTTTTTTTTTTAGGGAAATCCTCCCACCCTCCCGCAGGTCCAAGGCAGCGCCCCATGAGGAGATCACCAGGGTGTCCTGTTGTCCGTTCCGAGTAAGAGACTATAACCTGGAAGCTTGTCCCGACCTCCTAAGGCAAGTTTCGATTAAGTCAGGACTCGCACAGCGGGGGAGCATTAAACCCACACCAAGTAACTGATTAGGCATCCTTGAGGTCAAACCTCCTAACCAACAGTGCTTCGTCCAGGAGATTGGCCCAAAGGGGGAATTGAATTTGTGACCTTGGGACTTAAACCCTAAGGCCTTACCACAATGCCACAACCCCTTGGGTTTTCCCCTTCCGTTTTCCACCACCGCAAGCCTAAAATCTACTACTCGTTAAAAACCCATCGTCCACCTGCGCCAACTTTTGTACAATGGAGGTGTTTGGAAAGTTAGTTATTTTAGTGAGTCATTTTAGTTTTTGACCTCGTAGGTTAAAATAATTGTATTTGGAATGAGGGTTGGTTTTTTTTGCAATTAAATGTGATGTTTATAAGAAAAAAAAAATTATGAATTTGATATGATATTTTGTTTTATTAATTATTTTAATATATTTTATCTTTTAATATTATTTTAATTCAAAAAGTAAAAAAAATTAGAATAATGCTTGAGACCTCGAATTGGAGGTCTCGAATTTCAAATTTTTTTTTTTTTTGGGAGGTGGGGTTAGTTTGGTTTTTTTTTTTGGTAATTTCTTTTTCCTTTTTTTTTTTTGTAAAGGTGGTTATGTGTAGGGATGTCCTAAAAAATTAGACATCTCGCATCAACTCAGCCTGTATAGTTTGATAAGGTGAGTGAGTTGAATTGGACTGGTTAGGTAATAAAATTGGCTGATCAGTTAAGCTGCTGGTTAAAATTTGTTAACTTCATATAATTTTGTACGAGTCTATACTATATTTTTATTTCAAATTAGAAAAATTCGAAAGAATTAAAATCAAAGCCATTTCAATTTCTTCGAAATCTTCCTAATTTGAAATAAAAATATAATAGAGACTCATACAAAATTATATGAAATTAACAAATTTTAACCAGCAGTCTAACTGATCAATCAATTTTATCACCCAATCAGTCCAACCTAATTCACTCACTTTATCAAATCACATAGGTTGAGTTGTTTTTTTTTTTTTTTGGCTATGTTAGTTTTTTTAAAATTTTATTTTTTTATTTTTTATTTTTTGGCCTGTGTTGTTTTGGTTTGTTTTTTTTTTTATTTTAAAAGAAGATGGTTATATGTAGGGATGTGTTAAAAAATTAGACATCTCGCACTAACTCATCGTATAAAATTATATAAAATTAACAAACTTTAATCAACAGCCTAATTGATCAGCCAATTAGGTTGGACTGATTTTGTGATAAAATTGACTGATCAATTAAGTTTTTGGTTAAATTTTGTTAATTTCATATAGTTTTGTTTGATAAATTTATACGAGATGTCTAATTTTTTAACACATCCTTATATATAACTATCTTTAAAATAAAAAAAATAAATAAAAAACTAACTCACACAGTCAAAAAAAAAAAAAAAAAATGAGACAAATTCGAGGCTTCTAGCACTACTACCAAGGTGGACAGCAGCGTGAGCTTCCTGATGTGGTTGTCTGTAATTTCTCCTTAAATCCATCATTATCAAAGGAGAAAAAAATTGGCGGAATAAACTGTTGAAGCCATTGCTAAACAAAACTGAAGAAAAGGAAAGGAAAGGCGGCTTTCTGTGGAAACCTCGACTTAAAGCATTTTTCTTTGTCCGTTGTTCTTGGAAATTATTTAATAATTTGAAAATATTAAGTTGTTATATTTTAAATCAATCATCAATTATTTAGTTTTCATATTATTTCTCTATTCTTAATATAAATTATGAGTCTTTATCCTTTTATACTAATCAAAATTTTATAGAACATCACGTATCTATTTTTTAAAAATACTGAATAATCACCCTTTGTTTTTAGACGTTTCACTCGAAGAACTTAAGGTCGTGTTTGTTTGGTATATTAAGGGTTGGTTTGGCAAGGGCTCATTGGGATAAAAGACAGAATAGACTCATGAGCCACAACAGACAAAACATCCCATCCAACCACATAATCATTACACTCTTCTCTCACAAAAAAATTAAAAAAGTCAAAAAGCCAAAAACCCTTCCCAAACTAAGTTTTTGAGCCCAGGCATAGTCAAAAAAGTCAAAAAACCAAAAAACTAACCCACTTCCCAAACGGAGGCTAAGTTATATAAGATTATTTGTGAAAAAATAATTAGTAAAAAAATTGTTAATGTAAAAATTATTAGTGAGGAGATTAAATAAAAATGTGTTTATTTTGATGATAGTATAAAATATGATTAGTGATGAAATTGTTAAATTATTATTATTAAAAATAAATAAATAATTTATTTTTATATTAAAAAAACTAAAACAAATATTAAAAAAATAAATTTTGTATAAAATATACTTAATTTCTTTACTATTTTTATAATCACATAAAAAATCCAGCCAAACTAATTTTCCTATTAAAGGAAATTACTAAGCGCTTGGACTACCAATCTGTCCTTTTCCATTACGAACCATGTTGACTGACGGCCATAATAATTTAATCCAACCACCCAAGCCACGAAACAAACCTGACGTAACCTAATAAAAATCCCTAAATTGGATAGGATACTTTATGTAAAAAAGATTATGTCATTGTGTACTACATGTAAAAACTGATAACTACTAGGATAAAAATTAGATTAAAGATTTGTCTAGAGACGCAACTTTTTAAAAAAGAAAAAATTGACTAAAACATGAAATGAAAAAATAAAATAAAATAAAGTGTTTAAAAATGATTTTTTTAACTTTTAATTTTAAAACAATGCAAAAAGTAAAAAAAAAAAGAAAAATTTACCTATAAATCTTATTTTCTGAAAAGTTGAACCATTTAATCCTAAAAATTTTCTTATGCATCATTAGTCCCATTTTATTTTGGTAATGATGTTTATTTGATAACCATCATCGGACCAACATTAGTCATCACCACGAAGCTTCAAACAAACAGAACAAACCAATTCGAGCCCCCTGTTTTTCATGGCGATGGCAGCATTTCCAGATCCTTCGATCAAACACAAATCGGCCAACTTATCAACAAGACTTCAACGAAATGGTGAAAGAGAACATCGATGATCTTGGCATGGACACCTCCGAAGCCCTCCAAGACGCCATCGAAACCCTAACTCTCCAAGGCGTCGATCTCTCTAGTTCCAAATCTCTCGCTCTCTCTCCAACGATGCCATGATTAACATCAACGCCATGATCAACATCGCAACATCAGCGAATGGGTTGGTGATGTTCGATCCTTGTTTGATGACTAATGTTGGTGCTGATGATGACTCATGTTGCCTTGGAGAGTTAGGGTTTTGATGATGAACATTACGATCGCTGATGTTGCGATGTTGATCGTGGCCTTGATGTTGATGATGAATGTTGACAACTTCACCACTGCCCAAGATGTCCCAATTCTGTAATTTTACAGAGTGTCAAATTACCAAATTTACCCACTAACGTCCAGATTCACGCCCGTGATGTATATGCCCTCTATGGTCAATTTCCTTATAATGGGACCTTTCAGTCTATAAGAAAAATTTTAGGACTAAATAGTGTATAAGTTGTTAATTTGGGATTTATTGGTGCATCACCCAAAAAAAATACTAAAAATAACAAAACACAGAAAATAAAAAGCTCAAAAAAATTATTTTTGAAAATTTAAAACCAAAGAAAATTTAGATTTTAGTGAGCCTATGGCATGCACAGTCTTCATTATCTCAAACGTTCATGTAAAAATTAAAATATCTCAAATGTCTCAAATGTTCATGTTCTACGATCCTTTTTACGAATTAGTCATGTAAAAATTAAAATTAACTTGTCGTGTATTTGTTCAAATGGAATTCCTTTGATATACATACCTTGTTACGCATTTTTCTACTACATATTATGTATTTTTATAATAAATGTTACATAATCGTCTAATAAAATTACGATAATTTGTATTTCCGAAATAAAATTATATAATTCTATAGTAATATTGTACATTTTGTGGTTCAAAAATATTTCGACAAAAATGTTTAACATGTATCATAAAATGCATAATTACTAGAAAAATATATGTAACATATATAAATAATAATAAAAAAGAGAGAATTACATCCTGAGAGGGAGATTTGCTCCGGACTGGTATGACCGACCTACGGTAACGCCGGTTGGGGCGAATCTCGCGGGAGCAGACCGGTTTTCTCAATTGGTGCGGTTCTCCGACTTGATCTACACGGCCGGGGTAGTTTGAACGACTGGGCGTGGTCCAGGGCCTCGTCGGGCCATGCCATGGCTGAACATTCGGCTGGGCACGCAGTGGCATGACGCAACCGAGCTAAGGACAGCCCGGACTAGACTGAGGACGGGGCAAGGGCCGGCATACCTCCGACTAGTTAGCCGAGATGGCCCGACTTCATATAACCTAGAATAAGGGTAGAGCGGGGGAAGGCCAGCATGCCTCGCGGCCGGTCAGCCAGGATGGACTGGTCCCACGCAGCTCGGCCATGAGCATCATACTTTTGCTTCTTTCCAAGGGATAGGTCGGCGAGACACAGCTCGGTTGTGTTGCCTGTGTTGGCGGTTCTCCACGAGGGGTAGGTCGGTCGTGGTACTCCGGTGAAGTGTGCCACCTGGGCCAATGGTGCAAGGGAGAGGAAATCTGCTCCAGGCACGCGTCAATACCGTTTGGCAGGTTTGCATGTACTGGTTGGGGGATTTGGCCTTTACACGTGTAAGGTGGTGAGAGGCAAGCACTGCCACCTGTCCAGGGAAGGACAGCAGAGGTAGTGCGCGCATAATCCTGAGGCTGCATGGCCAGCCTAGAAAAAGGAATGGAAGATGAACGTTAGAGGTATGCAACTTTGAGCGATTCTCTCTTTCTAACAGTATTCTTCTTCCTCAAGCGTTCTGACTTGATTGTCGGAGGGTCTATCCGGCGACCCACCGCCGGACAGCTCACCGTTTCTTTGTTGCCAGGTTAGACGCCGTCACGTGAAGCTTGAGTCCAAGGAGTACGGAAAGCAGAGGATATTTCGCCCCTTGTACATGTGTCTATGAAAACAGAGATGAATGAGGGTATTGATAAAGATATCGATTCCAAGAAACTAGCTCCACTTCAAAGCCTCTCGAAGATTGATAGAAATTTCCATTTTGATGTGTATTTATCGCAAGGATGTTTTTCTTCAAAAGTGTAACAGTTCAAAATCGCATAGTTCAGTAGCCCAACTTCCATTCTTGTCCCAAGAACAACAAAGTGATCATTCTAAGTTAGGCTAAAGGGTATTAGACTGAAGGCGTAGGATGATTAGGGAGACAACCGGCCGGTCGTCCAGTGAGACCCACCCTTAACGTACACGCACAGTAAGCTGCTGAAATCTGGCCAGATCTTTAGTTTGGTGAAAATTTTGAAACGTTCTCAATTTGATACTGTTTTGATAAAACCGTTGGAGACAAAAAAAAAAAATCATTTTTCACCAAAAAAAAAAAAGGTCACATTTTTCACCAAATTCAAATTTGATGATGACTTTGATTAAAAACGTTGGAGATGGCCTTACAAATGTTCCTTTGATATATATACCTTGTTACGTATTTTTCTATTGTATATTATATATTTTTATGATAAATATTACATAATCATCTAATAAAATTATAATACTTTGTGATTCAAAAATAAAATTATATAGTCTTATAATAATATTACACATTTTGTGGTTCAAAAATATTTTGACAAATATATGTAACATGCTCCATAAAATGCATAAATGCTATGTTTGATTTGAGTTTTCAAATTATGATTCTAAATTAATTTCAAAATACATTTTGCAAATATGTTTGGTAAATTAGATAATTTTTGAATTTTTAGTCTATCCGGTCGTCCACCCGGATATCCTCCCGGATGTCTAGCCGGTTGACCGGAATAGTACTCTTTTTTTTTCTTTTTTTTTATTTGCAATTGTCAATCGCCACCTGTTATTTAGAAAAAAAAATTATTTATTTTTGATATTTTTTAAATATATAAATTATTTTTTTCAACCAAAATGACATTATTTTTTTAATTGAATTTTAAAAAGAATTTAGTTATGAGTTTTGAATATAATTTTTAATAGAGTTTTGAATTGTGTGTTTGATTATGAGTTATAAATTTTTGAATTAAGTTTTAAAAATATTCAAACAACTTTTCTCATTTCATATGTCACATCAAAAATTTAAAATTCAATTCAAAACTCTTTTCAAAACTCATAACCAAATTAATTTTTTCTTTTCAAATCATAATTTCAAAATTCACAAATTCAAAATACAACTCTATTATTAAATCATAATTCTAAAACGCTACTAAATACTACCTAAGTATATAGGCTACACAGCCTAAACAATTTTCTAATTTAAAATCTAATTATATGATTTTAATTTTTTTAATCAACTTAATTTATTATATAAATAAAATCTTGAAAAATTAAAAAAATAAGAAAACGATTCGAATTACTTGGAACCAGGGCATTACATTGGGGGTGTTTCCTAGGGGTGCAACTCGGGCGGGCTCAACCCGAGCAACCCGAGCCCAGCCCGAGTTTTTTTAGGGCTTGGGCAACTATATCTTGTAATCTGGACGGGCTTGGGCAGATTTTTGATGCCCGAATTGCAATTCGGGCCGGGCTTGGGCAGAACCAATGGCCAACCCGAGCAACCCGAACCCGAATTCAATTTAATATATTATATAAATTAAGTAAAAGAGTTAGTCTTAATTTTTTTTTTATTTTTTTTTTGGTTAGTCTTCTATTAAGTAAAAGAGTTAGTCTTAATTTTTATTTTTTATTTTTTTTTGGTTAGTTTTCTACCATTAGATTAGCATCTTTTATGTCTACCCTTAGATCTACCTACAGGTTTCTGAACTCGGGCAATTCGGGCAATTCGGGCAACCCGAGTTCAAAATACAAAGCTTGGGCCGGGCTTGGGCAACAATGTTCGGGTTCATGGTCGGGCTTGGGCGGGCTTGGGCAGTGCCAAATACAATTCGGGTCGGGCTTGGGCAGACCCCCAACCCGACCGAACCCGCCCGAGTTGCACCCCTAGTGTTTCCTGCCTATTAATTAAGTTGTTTATAATTTATTTAATTTGAAAATATGTGTGTGATATTGTTTAGTATAAATTCAATTTGTAATTTATTAGACAGAAATAATTTTTAAAAAAATAATATGTAAGTCAACTTTCTAAATCTATTTTTTAATCTAATGATAAACTTTTTAAATTTATTTTCTAGATTCAATAATGTATAAGTAATATTATTCATTGATTATTAAAGAAGATATAAAAGAAAATGTTACTTTTAATATTTTAATTGGCCATCGTTTGACATGCCAGCTTTTTAACTTTTTTAACCCAATAAGACATCACATCTAATTCATAATAATTTTATTTTTTTTTACAAAAGTCAAAAAAATTAAAAAAACCTATCCAAACCGAGACTTTATCAAAATAGCCAAAAAAACAATCCATATTCCAAACGAATCGTTGATCACCACATCACTAGACTTGAAAATTATGTCTAATTTTTTTTTTTTATATATCTTAAATAACAATACTCTTAACTTGAAAAAAAAATAAAATAAAATAAAAAATAAAAAAAAAAATCTTATCATCTAAAGAGTGTAGGATGTTTTTCACTTGTATTTTCGAATTATTAACTTCCAACCTATAATAAACTACGGCAATGTTTGGCATCATCTTCTTGGATTAAAGTAGTCATTAAAAGATAAAATAAATTTTTAATCTAATAAAATAAAATATTATATCCAAATCATAATTATTTTATTTTTTTCTTTCACAAAAGTCAAAAAAATTTACCCCAAACGAAACTTTTTAACCTCAGACTTAGGCTTCGTTTGAAAACAAACTACTTTAATAAATTTTAAATTTTTTAATTAAAATATGAGATTAAAAGAATTAATATATTTAAATTGACTTTTTAATTTTTTTACAAAAAAATATACAAAAAATAAAGAGAAAAAAATCTTTAGTTCTACTCTTTTTAATTTTTTTAATAACTTCTTAAATTTAAGCTAAAATATGCACATATCCAACGAAGCATAAAATATAAAAAGCAAAAAAATCATCCACTACATTCTAAACGAAGGCTACATCACCCACAAGTTAACCCACAAGTGTAGTGACTCAAAAATAAGACCATCTTCGATTCAAATTTTTCATAAAATTTAAATTTAATAAAAAAGTAATAACAATAATACGTTTAATTAATTTTATATGAAATGAAAGAAACAATACTTTCTTTTATCAAATAAAAAAAACATTTATCCCCTCATTAAATTTATAGGTGACTATTGGCCGGGCATAAGTCCTCCTAGACATCTTTTGAGCAACCGATTTTAGAATGAATGTGATAAAAATTTACTTTAGACCGATTTTAGGATAAATTTGATAAAAATTTACTTTAAGTGGCCGACCAGCTGATCAACCATTCAAATTTGATTAGATTTGAAATACATCATATCAAATCAAAGTTTTTCTTAAATTTTTTACTCAAATTTAATAAAACATCTAATAAACGATTGGAAACGATTGGAGATGCTCCAACTTGTTCAATGTGAAAAGACAAAAAAAAAAAACCCATAATAAAGCTTGACAAAATTCCATCAAAATAAGAGGAACAGTTTTGGTCATTCAACTTCTGCTCAGTTATTCATCTTCTTCCTACTGCATCAGCATCAGTAGTAGTCGTACCACAATTCCCTGCAACTTCCACTTGCAATTTCACCTCGTACACCTCAATGACTCAAATGACCTATATACCCCAAAACTTTCAAGCAAAAGCATCCTACAAGAGAAGGACATAACTAGCAACACAACATACATACATACATACATACATATGTGTGTGTGTGTGTGTGTCATGCAAGCTCATTGACAAACCATAGATAGACCTCACTCACTCACCTCCCAGACCCTCTGTTCAACATGTCTCTGTACCTCAGAATCGAATCGAGCCTCTGCAACTTCAACTGTTGCTTGAACCTGTTGATGAAGTCATCGGCCTTCGCGTCCACCTCTTCTTCCTCCTCCCCATACGCCGCCGCCGCGTTCCTCTCCCTCATCGTCGCCGGCCGCCGTCGATCCACTTTCTCCTCCTCCTTCTCCTCCGCCGCAGCCCTCGCCTTCTGGCTCGCCGAATTCTTCATCTTCGCTGGACCCGGACCCGGACCCGGACCCTCGCCCGTCTTGTCAGACTTGCTCCTCCTCGTCACGTGAGCCTCCTCGACGTGGTGGGTCTCGTGCTGTACCGGGTCGGGTTGTTCGGATCTGTAGAGAGAGAAGTTGAAGGACTTGACCCGTTCCAGGAGTGACGGAGCTCGGACCAGTTGGGGTGGGTTGTTGTTCTTCTTGTTGTGTTCATCTTCATCGTCTGGTTGTTGTGGGTCGAGGTGGTGGGTGGAGAACTGTAATGGGTCGGTGTCGGGTTGTTGTTCGGATCTGTAGAGGGAGAGATTGAAGGACCTGACTCGTTCGAGGAGAGATGGAGCTCGGACCAGTTGGGGTGGGTGGTAGTTGGGTTGTTGATGTGGGTCGAGGTGGAAGGGCGAGAAGTGTAATGGGTCGTTGTCGGGTTGTTGTTCGGAGCTGTAGAGAGAGAAATTGAAGGACCTGACTCGTTCTAAAATGGACGGAGCTCGGAGCAGGGGGTGGTGGTGGTTGTGGTGGTGGTGGTGGTATTCGTCGTCCGGCGATGGCGACGGTGGTGGTTTGTGGTGGTGGGATTTGAGGTTAGAGGTGATGAAGATAATGCCAATCATGAGGTTGAGGACACAGAAGAGAGTAGTGGGTGTGAACCAGCTCGCCATGAAATCCAACATGTTGAACACACCACTGGTTCTGCTTCGTCCTTTGCTGGTTAGAGAGAGAGAGATGGGTTTTGGAGAGAGAAGGGGAAGAAGGGAGATATATTTATCTTGTGTGGTGGGGGTGAAAACAAAATATTTATTATATGTAACGGGGGTGAAAACGAAGACGAAGACGAAGACGAAAACGAAAGTATAAGTAAATAAATAAATAAATCATATAAAAAATATACACGTGGTGAAATGGGAATTACAAGAAATTGATGATAAAGTCTAGGACAAATGATAAGTGCGAGGACAAATGAAGGTTGGTTTGAGATTAAAATGTAAAGGGAAATTTTAATATACATACGTTACGTCAATTTTTTTTAATTATAATTAATTTTTTTATTTAATTATGATTTATGATATTTTTAATTATATTTTATGTGTTATTTGATTATGATTTTTTTAGTTAAGATTCAGAAAATATAAAAATACGTTTTTTTTTTCTCTTACTTATAAGGCATGTAGCATAATCTTTCCAAATGTTAAATCTAGTTCTTTTCTTGTGTTAATAATGGCCTGTTTGAAAATTTGATTGTTTTAATTAATTTTTTGATTTTTTAATTATTTTAATCTAATTAAAGAAATTGTGTTTAGAAAGGTAGTTTGTTTTTTTTATAATTGATTGGAAAGAAAAAAATAAAATAATTATGATTTAAATATAATATTTTATTTTATTAATTATTTTAATTTATTTTATTTTTATTGACTATTTTAATATCCAACCCCTTTCTCAAATAAGGCTATTGAGTTTGGAGACTTTCCTTTTGATTTTTTATCAACAGTGTGTTTGGTTTAAGTTTTTTGAATTAAGTTTTTTGAAAATTAAATCTTTTAATTCTCGTATTTTTTTGTTTTTAGTGAATATTTTTTAAATTTTAAATATATATTTTTTTACTTTTTAGATGCACCTTACTTAGATGCATCTAAAAAGTAAAAAATTTGTGAAAAAATATTTTAAAAAATTAATAAATACATAAAAATATAAAAAAATGTATTGAATTTTCGTATTTTTTTTGTATTTTGGGTATTTAGTGAATTTTTAAAAGGTTTTCTTTATAATTTTTTTACTTTTTAGATACATCAAAGTTAGGTATGTCTAAAAATTTTAAAAATTGCTTAAAATATTAAAAAAAATCAATAAAAACAAAAAAACACGAAAAATAAGAAAGTAAAATTTTCTAAAAATTGTTTTCTGAAAAGTGAAACCAAGCGACTTGGCCTCCTCTGGAATGAGATTTTAATAAAATTTTTAAATAAAATATAAAGTAAACAAAATTATATATTTGAAATTACAACTTTTTATAAATATAATAAAAAACAAAAAAGACGGTATAAAAAATGTAAAGAGAAAATAGAAATTTTTTTATCAACCCCGTACAAAGCCCGAATATAGGGGCTCGAATTTGGCTCGAAATTAGGGGGAAAAAGAAGAAGGAGGAGGAGGAGGAGAAGGAGAAAAAGAACTGGACTGGAGGGGGCCATAAAAATGGGGCTGGAGACGGAGGTGGAGGCGGACGGAGGCAGAGGCGGAGGCGGGGCTGCGATGCGCGAGGCGACGATCGGCCAACGAGCTGCGACGACGACGACGACGACGACGTTTCTCTCTCTCTTCTCTGCTTTTCTCCTGTGTTCAACGAAGAAGAAGAAAAGAAAGAAAGAAAATGAAGAGAAAGAAAAGGAAGAAAAAAAAATTGAAATCCAAAACGACGTCGTTTTGGGTTTCGAGCCAAATTCGAGCCCCTAATTTCGGGCCCTCAAACATTATTCTTTTTTTATATAATTTATTAATTTTTGAATTTTTTTAGTAGTTTTTTTACTTTTAAATTAAAATTGTGAGTTGCCAATAGAGAAAATTTATTTAAAAAAACACTCAAAATTTATAGTATGAAAATAATATTCATTCTGATTGTAGTATGTTCATTTTAAATTCAAGGTAATTTTTGGAATAAATATAGGAAAAATTATCAATAAATCCTATATAGGGGAATATTAATTCATTTAGTCTTAAGAGTTTTTTTATAAACCAATTAGTCTTATTTGATGTTGTAAAGGTTGATGTGTTTGATTTGGTTCCATTTGTGTTTACGAGAATACCCTTTTGTGATTCATGTGTCCAAATTTCTTGTACATTTCTCAGTTTGGAAATAGAAAGGTGAGGTGTGCAAGATTCTTTGTCGAAGGGATTGGGGGGATTGGGTGGCTGGTGAATCATGTTGGCTGAGTTGGGGTATGTAGTGTTGGTCATCTAGTAGGGAAAACTCCATTTCTGTTGGTGTGGTTCTCTATCAGAGGGGTGCTGCTGAGTTCGCTTGTAGCTGATCCAGACGAACTGTCGGAAGGTACGTGCATTGGTTGTTGATGGTTACATTGTGTGGGTTGTTTGTGTTGTGGTTACTTGGTCGCGCCGCCAATTGTGAAGCGTCCACCTAGAAGGCCCAAACAAAAAAAGATTCCATCGAGAGGTGAGGTAGTGCAACATGTTCAATGTAGCCGATATACGAAGTTGGGTAATCAAAGTAGGAAGACGTGCAAGGAACTGATTTAGATGTGCCACAATCTGATGAACTTTGGCACCATGAGATGCTGGTCTTATTTTGCTTTTTAGTTTCGTTACAACAAACATTTTTTATTTTAGCAATTTTTTATTTTTATTTTTATTTTTTAATTATGATTATCTATGTTGTGGGACATAACGACCTTTAACTGGTTTAAGTTCCATGTCATTTTGAATTTAATATTACCTTTGGTGACCATATGTTTTTATCTTATTGTAGTTCTGTTGCATTCTTGGACTTTGATGTTATCCTCATTGTCCCATGTGGTACAAATAAACGTATGCGCATCGATATTACATTATTTTTTTATGTACTTCCTATTTATCGATTTACAGAACTTAGTAACAGCCCGAACCAAATTTCCCATTTACCTATAGCGACTCTAGCTTTGACTCGACATTTTATTATATTCCGGACTCGGGTTTCATGATTCAATGTTGTTGTTCATCTCTTATTCCCCTTGTTGTTCCTTGGATTGGTCATTTGGATTGTAGTTGTGTGTTTGGAACATGTTGGTTGCTTGTTTTTCCAAACCTTTGTTGCCCAGATTTTTACTCCTCCACTTGTGCGGCCATTCTTGTGCTTGAGTGGGCTTTGCAATTCTTCTTTTCTGCTCAAGCGATCATTCTTGCGCTCGAGCGGGATTTGCAAACTCTCAGTATTTTTGCAGACCAGCAAATACTGGAAGAGTGTATTCTACGCGCGAGCGACGTTTCCTACGCTTGAGTGGGTAGACACTTGAGCGTCCAATCTTGTGCTCGAGTGATGTCCTTCATCTGCAAAACTTTTGAAAGTGTGTATTCTACGCTCCAGTATCACTTCTCGCGCTCAAGCGAAACAATGTGTCTGACGCTCAAGTGTCACTTTTCACGCTTGAGCGAACTGCGTGTATAACAGATCGCGAAGACGACTTTTTCATCACTTTTTCATTCCTCTCTCTCTCTAAAACTTTCCAAAAATTTAGATCTTGAGTTTCTCTCTCTAAAACTCATCTTCTCTCTACTATTTCACCTAGATCCATTAGGATCTTCACCTTAGTGCCTTTGAGAAAAAGGTAGAGCACCTCAAGAGCTTCGTTTCGATCCGAGTAGAAGTTGGTTTCAACGTCTTTGAAGCTTCTCCTTTGTTTCTTTGGTCTTCTAAGTTTGAGATAGGAATTTTCTACACTTTCATATGGTTTTTAACTTAGTTATTTGATAATTGTGCAACAATGGTGGGCTTTGGGTGTATTATGGAGAAACCTAGGGTTTGAGTTATAAAATCAAAAGAGGGGTTTCTAAGTATATGTTATGGGAATAGTTATGAGGTTAAATATAAGGTGGTATGGTTACAATGTAGTTGATTTTGGCTTTGGGTTGATATTTAAAAGAGCGGAGTTTGCCCTAAAATGATTCGAATATTTATTTTGTATAAATAAATGAAATTGGTGTTTTAAACATAAAATTGGACGAATATTGAAATAGATGGTGGAGCTGAGTATGTAATACCTCTCACCTTTGGAAATTTTGAATAAATTATCTGTCTTGAGATTGAATATCTATTTAGAAATAGCTGCATTGGGCTGTCGGTGGAGGATAGCTCTGATTGTTGTAGAAATTGGATGAGAATTACGTGAATTAAAACTAATATATTGTTGATTGTCATTGAATATGACTATGTTTTAAATACATTGTACATATATGATATTTTAGAGGAGAAAGTGGATGTACTCTATGTTTGGGAGAAGATAGGGGATGAATTTCATTGAAATTAAGTTGGCCGGAGTGTATTGGGTGAAAGTCCCAAAATCACGCGTATACATGGTTGCCGATCCCGCGGACGAAATTCCTGTAAAATGGCAGATTTAAGTGTTTGTATGGTAATTGTGTTAATTGTATAACCAATGAATTGTAGTCTCAGTTGGGTTGTTGAGAGATAATGAAATTGGCTCATGAATTGAAATGAATTGAAGGAAATGGAATCAGATATGAAATTGGTGCTTTATGATTATATAACAATATGAATGTTTTGTTACAGGCATTGTATATGCACATTGTACTTATATCCTTGTTAAATCTCATATATTGTGTTGGATTATTCATACTGGATTTTGGCTTAACCTATTTGGAAAAAACCATTTTCAAGTGCTGGTGATATGCCTCTGCCAAGGCAATAGTTTAGAGGGACATTTGGGAGCAAGAGGTTCTTTATTTTGTTGTATTCTTTTGTATAGCCAAGGGCTTTAAATATATTGAGCTAGGCTTACTTTTGTTTTAACCAAGCAATGACTTGGAAAGATGTAAACCCACAGAGCATATGGTCATCTGTTTAGTTTTCAGTTCTTATATCAATATAACACACGTTGTAGATTCAGGATGAATAGTTTGTGAATGTATATCGCATGTGTTAGCCTTTGTACAC